CATACTGCTGCTAACATGTACAGATGCTAACATGTACAGATGCTAACATGTACAGATGCTAACATACTGCTGCTAACATGTACAGATGCTAACATACTGCTGCTAACATGTACAGATGCTAACATGTACAGATGCTAACATACTGCTGCTAACATGTACAGATGCTAACATACTGCTGCTAACATGTACAGATGCTAACATGTACAGATGCTAACATACTGCTGCTAACATGTACAGATGCTAACATGTACAGATGCTAACATGTACAGATGCTAACATACTGCTGCTAACATGTACAGATGCTAACATGTACAGATGCTAACATGTACAGATGCTAACATACTGCTGCTAACATGTACAGATGCTAACATACTGCTGCTAACATGTACAGATGCTAACATACTGCTGCTAACATGTACAGATGCTAACATACTGCTGCTAACATGTACAGATGCTAACATGTACAGATGCTAACATACTGCTGCTAACATGTACAGATGCTAACATACTGCTGCTAACATGTACAGATGCTAACATACTGCTGCTAACATGTACAGATGCTAACATGTACAGATGCTAACATACTGCTGCTAACATGTACAGATGCTAACATACTGCTGCTAACATGTACAGATGCTAACATGTACAGATGCTAACATGTACAGATGCTAACATGTACAGATGCTAACATACTGCTGCTAACATGTACAGATGCTAACATGTACAGATGCTAACATACTGCTGCTAACATGTACAGATGCTAACATGTACAGATGCTAACATACTGCTGCTAACATGTACAGATGCTAACATGTACAGATGCTAACATGTACAGATGCTAGCATGTACAGATGCTAACATACTGCTGCTAACATGTACAGATGCTAACATACTGCTGCTAACATGTACAGATGCTAACATGTACAGATGCTAACATACTGCTGCTAACATGTACAGATGCTAACATACTGCTGCTAACATGTACAGATGCTAACATACTGCTGCTAACATGTACAGATGCTAACATGTACAGATGCTAACATACTGCTGCTAACATGTACAGATGCTAACATACTGCTGCTAACATGTACAGATGCTAACATGTACAGATGCTAACATACTGCTGCTAACATGTACAGATGCTAACATACTGGTGCTAACATGTACAGATGCTAACATACTGGTGCTAACATGTACAGATGCTAACATGTACAGATGCTAACATGTACAGATGCTAACATACTGGTGCTAACATGTACAGATGCTAACATACTGCTGCTAACATGTACAGATGCTAACATACTGCTGCTAACATGTACAGATGCTAACATACTGCTGCTAACATGTACAGATGCTAACATGTACAGATGCTAACATACTGCTGCTAACATGTACAGATGCTAACATGTACAGATGCTAACATGTACAGATGCTAACATGTACAGATGCTAACATACTGCTGCTAACATGTACAGATGCTAACATACTGCTGCTAACATGTACAGATGCTAACATGTACAGATGCTAACATACTGCTGCTAACATGTACAGATGCTAACATACTGCTGCTAACATGTACAGATGCTAACATACTGCTGCTAACATGTACAGATGCTAACATACAGATGCTAACATGTACAGATGCTAACATACTGCTGCTAACATGTACAGATGCTAACATGTACAGATGCTAACATGTACAGATGCTAACATACTGCTGCTAACATGTACAGATGCTAACATGTACAGATGCTAACATGTACAGATGCTAACATACTGCTGCTAACATGTACAGATGCTAACATACTGCTGCTAACATGTACAGATGCTAACATACTGCTGCTAACATGTACAGATGCTAACATACTGCTGCTAACATGTACAGATGCTAACATGTACAGATGCTAACATACTGCTGCTAACATGTACAGATGCTAACATGTACAGATGCTAACATGTACAGATGCTAACATACTGCTGCTAACATGTACAGATGCTAACATGTACAGATGCTAACATGTACAGATGCTAACATGTACAGATGCTAACATACTGCTGCTAACATGTACAGATGCTAACATACTGCTGCTAACATGTACAGATGCTAACATACTGCTGCTAACATGTACAGATGCTAACATACTGCTGCTAACATGTACAGATGCTAACATACTGCTGCTAACATGTACAGATGCTAACATACTGCTGCTAACATGTACAGATGCTAACATGTACAGATGCTAACATGTACAGATGCTAACATACTGCTGCTAACATGTACAGATGCTAACATACTGCTGCTAACATGTACAGATGCTAACATACTGCTGCTAACATGTACAGATGCTAACATGTACAGATGCTAACATACTGCTGCTAACATGTACAGATGCTAACATACTGCTGCTAACATGTACAGATGCTAACATACTGATGCTAACATGTACAGATGCTAACATACTGCTGCTAACATGTACAGATGCTAACATACTGCTGCTAACATGTACAGATGCTAACATACTGCTGCTAACATGTACAGATGCTAACATACTGCTGCTAACATGTACAGATGCTAACATGTACAGATGCTAACATGTACAGATGCTAACATACTGCTGCTAACATGTACAGATGCTAACATACTGCTGCTAACATGTACAGATGCTAACATACTGCTGCTAACATGTACAGATGCTAACATGTACAGATGCTAACATACTGCTGCTAACATGTACAGATGCTAACATACTGCTGCTAACATGTACAGATGCTAACATACTGCTGCTAACATGTACAGATGCTAACATGTACTGATGCTAACATGTACAGATGCTAACATGTACAGATGCTAACATACTGCTGCTAACATGTACAGATGCTAACATGTACAGATGCTAACATGTACAGATGCTAACATACTGCTGCTAACATGTACAGATGCTAACATACTGCTGCTAACATGTACAGATGCTAACATACTGCTGCTAACATGTACAGATGCTAACATACTGCTGCTAACATGTACAGATGCTAACATACTGCTGCTAACATGTACAGATGCTAACATGTACAGATGCTAACATGTACTGATGCTAACATGTACAGATGCTAACATACTGCTGCTAACATGTACAGATGCTAACATACTGCTGCTAACATGTACAGATGCTAACATGTACTGATGCTAACATGTACAGATGCTAACATGTACAGATGCTAACATACTGCTGCTAACATGTACAGATGCTAACATGTACAGATGCTAACATGTACAGATGCTAACATGTACAGATGCTAACATACTGCTGCTAACATGTACAGATGCTAACATACTGCTGCTAACATGTACAGATGCTAACATACTGCTGCTAACATGTACAGATGCTAACATACTGCTGCTAACATGTACAGATGCTAACATGTACTGCTGCTAACATGTACAGATGCTAACATGTACAGATGCTAACATACTGCTGCTAACATGTACAGATGCTAACATGTACAGATGCTAACATACTGCTGCTAACATGTACAGATGCTAACATACTGCTGCTAACATGTACAGATGCTAACATACTGCTGCTAACATGTACAGATGCTAACATACTGCTGCTAACATGTACAGATGCTAACATGTACAGATGCTAACATGTACAGATGCTAGCATGTACAGATGCTAACATACTGCTGCTAACATGTACAGATGCTAACATGTACTGATGCTAACATGTACAGATGCTAACATGTACAGATGCTAACATACTGCTGCTAACATGTACAGATGATACAACTGCTGCTAACATGTACAGATGCTAACATACTGCTGCTAACATGTACAGATGCTAACATACTGCTGCTAACATGTACAGATGCTAACATGTACAGATGCTAACATACTGCTGCTAACATGTACAGATGCTAACATACTGCTGCTAACATGTACAGATGCTAACATGTACAGATGCTAACATGCTACATGTACAGATGCTAACATGTACAGATGCTAACATACTGCTGCTAACATGTACAGATGCTAACATACTGCTGCTAACATGTACAGATGCTAACATGTACAGATGCTAACATACTGCTGCTAACATGTACAGATGCTAACATGCTGCTGCTAACATGTACAGATGCTAACATGTACAGATGCTAACATGTACAGATGCTAACATGTACAGATGCTAACATGTACAGATGCTAACATACTGCTGCTAACATGTACAGATGCTAACATGTACAGATGCTAACATACTGCTGCTAACATGTACAGATGCTAACATGCTGCTGCTAACATGTACAGATGCTAACATGTACAGATGCTAACATACTGCTGCTAACATGTACAGATGCTAACATACTGCTGCTAACATGTACAGATGCTAACATACTGCTGCTAACATGTACAGATGCTAACATGTACAGATGCTAACATACTGCTGCTAACATGTACAGATGCTAACATACTGCTGCTAACATGTACAGATGCTAACATACTGCTGCTAACATGTACAGGTGCTAACATGTACAGATGCTAACATGTACAGATGCTAACATACTGCTGCTAACATGTACAGATGCTAACATACTGCTGCTAACATGTACAGATGCTAACATGTACAGATGCTAACATACTGCTGCTAACATGTACAGATGCTAACATGCTGCTGCTAACATGTACAGATGCTAACATACTGCTGCTAACATGTACAGATGCTAACATGTACAGATGCTAACATGTACAGATGCTAACATACTGCTGCTAACATGTACAGATGCTAACATACTGCTGCTAACATGTACAGATGCTAACATACTGCTGCTAACATGTACAGATGCTAACATACTGCTGCTAACATGTACAGATGCTAACATACTGCTGCTAACATGTACAGATGCTAACATGTACAGATGCTAACATGTACAGATGCTAACATGTACTGATGCTAACATGTACAGATGCTAACATACTGCTGCTAACATGTACAGATGCTAACATGTACAGGTGCTAACATGTACAGATGCTAACATACTGCTGCTAACATGTACAGATGCTAACATGCTGCTGCTAACATGTACAGATGCTAACATGTACAGATGCTAACATACTGCTGCTAACATGTACAGATGCTAACATGTACAGATGCTAACATACTGCTGCTAACATGTACAGATGCTAACATACTGCTGCTAACATGTACAGATGCTAACATGCTGCTGCTAACATGTACAGATGCTAACATACTGCTGCTAACATGTACAGATGCTAACATGTACAGATGCTAACATGCTGCTGCTAACATGTACAGATGCTAACATACTGCTGCTAACATGTACAGATGCTAACATACTGCTGCTAACATGTACAGATGCTAACATGTACAGATGCTAACATACTGCTGCTAACATGTACAGATGCTAACATGCTGCTGCTAACATGTACAGATGCTAACATACTGCTGCTAACATGTACAGATGCTAACATGCTGCTGCTAACATGTACAGATGCTAACATACTGCTGCTAACATGTACAGATGCTAACATGTACAGATGCTAACATGTACAGATGCTAACATGTACAGATGCTAACATACTGCTGCTAACATGTACAGATGCTAACATGCTGCTGCTAACATGTACAGATGCTAACATACTGCTGCTAACATGTACAGATGCTAACATGCACAGATGCTAACATGTACAGATGCTAACATGTACAGATGCTAACATGTACAGATGCTAACATGTACAGATGCTAACATACTGCTGCTAACATGTACAGATGCTAACATACTGCTGCTAACATGCACAGATGCTAACATGTACAGATGCTAACATGTACAGATGCTAACATACTGCTGCTAACATGTACAGATGCTAACATGCACAGATGCTAACATGTACAGATGCTAACATGTACAGATGCTAACATGTACAGATGCTAACATACTGCTGCTAACATGTACAGATGCTAACATGCTGCTGCTAACATGTACAGATGCTAACATACTGCTGCTAACATGTACAGATGCTAACATGTACAGATGCTAACATGTACAGATGCTAACATGTGCAGATGCTAACATACTGCTGCTAACATGTACAGATGCTAACATGCACAGATGCTAACATGTACAGATGCTAACATGTACAGATGCTAACATGTACAGATGCTAACATGTACAGATGCTAACATGCACAGATGCTAACATGCACAGATGCTAACATGTACAGATGCTAACATGTGCAGATGCTAACATGTACAGATGCTAACATACTGCTGCTAACATGTACAGATGCTAACATGTACAGATGCTAACATGTACAGATGCTAACATGTGCAGATGCTAACATACTGCTGCTAACATGTACAGATGCTAACATGCACAGATGCTAACATGTACAGATGCTAACATGTACAGATGCTAACATGTACAGATGCTAACATGTACAGATGCTAACATGTACAGATGCTAACATGTACAGATGCTAACATGTACAGATGCTAACATGTGCAGATGCTAACATGTACAGATGCTAACATGTACAGATGCTAACATGTACAGATGCTAACATGTACAGATGCTAACATGTACAGATGCTAACATGTACAGATGCTAACATGTACAGATGCTAACATGTACAGATGCTAACATGTACAGATGCTAACATGTACAGATGCTAACATGCTGTAGAGATTTTATACTTCTTTATTATGTTAAAGATAGAGATTTTATGCCTGTTTCTTTGATGCTAGAGCCAGAGATGTTATTTTAAATAGTACGTAGTTATTGTTCTCTTCTCTTGAGCTGTGTGGGATCTTGATCTTAATCTTAATCTTAATCTTAATCTTAGAACGATTTAGCGCCATCACAGTCAGTAGTTTAGGCTTCTGAACCATCACGACTGCTTTTATATCAAACTTTATATTTAGACTGGGAAGAGCCACACCTGCCCTGGCTACGGCTCCGGCTGCTCTGGCTCTGGCTCCGACTGCTCTGGCTCTGGCTCCGGCTGCTCTGGCTCTGGCTCCGGCTGCTCTGGCTCTGGCTGCTCTGGCTCTGGCTCCGGCTGCTCTGGCTCTGGCTCCGACTGCTCTGGCTCTGGCTCCGGCTGCTCTGGCTCTGGCTCCGGCTGCTCTGGCTCTGGCTCCGGCTGCTCTGGCTCTGGCTCCGGCTGCTCTGGCTCCGGCTCCGACTGCTCTGGCTCTGGCTCCGGCTGCTCTGGCTCTGGCCCCGGCTGCTCTGGCTCTGGCTCCGGCTGCTCTGGCTCTGGCTGCTCTGGCTCTGGCTCCGGCTGCTCTGGCTCTGGCTCCGGCTGCTCTGGCTCCGGCTCCGACTGCTCTGGCTCTGGCTCCGGCTGCTCTGGCTCCGGCTGCTCTGGCTCTGGCTCCGGCTGCTCTGGCTCCGGCTGCTCTGGCTCCGGCTCCGACTGCTCTGGCTCCGACTGCTCTGGCTCTGGCTCCGGCTGCTCTGGCTCTGGCTCCGGCTGCTCTGGCTCTGGCTCCGGCTGCTCTGGCTCCGGCTCCGACTGCTCTGGCTCCGGCTGCTCTGGCTCTGGCTCCGGCTGCTCTGGCTCTGGCTCCGGCTGCTCTGGCTCTGGCTCCGGCTGCTCTGGCTCTGGCTCCGGCTGCTCTGGCTCCGGCTCCGGCTGCTCTGGCTCTGGCTCCGGCTGCTCTGGCTCCGGCTCCGACTGCTCTGGCTCTGGCTCCGGCTGCTCTGGCTCTGGTTCCGGCTGCTCTGGCTCTGGCTCCGGCTGCTCTGGCTCTGGCTGCTCTGGCTCTGGCTCCGGCTGCTCTGGCTCTGGCTCCGACTGCTCTGGCTCTGGCTCCGGCTGCTCTGGCTCTGGCTCCGGCTGCTCTGGCTCTGGCTCCGGCTGCTCTGGCTCTGGCTCCGACTGCTCTGGCTCTGGCTCCGGCTGCTCTGGCTCTGGCTCCGGCTGCTCTGGCTCCGGCTCCGGCTGCTCTGGCTCTGGCTCCGGCTGCTCTGGCTCCGGCTCCGACTGCTCTGGCTCTGGCTCCGGCTGCTCTGGCTCTGGCTCCGGCTGCTCTGGCTCTGGCTCCGGCTGCTCTGGCTCTGGCTGCTCTGGCTCTGGCTGCTCTGGCTCTGGCTCCGGCTGCTCTGGCTCTGGCTCCGACTGCTCTGGCTCTGGCTCCGGCTGCTCTGGCTCTGGCTCCGGCTGCTCTGGCTCTGGCTCCGGCTGCTCTGGCTCTGGCTGCTCTGGCTCTGGCTCCGGCTGCTCTGGCTCTGGCTCCGACTGCTCTGGCTCTGGCTCCGGCTGCTCTGGCTCTGGCTCCGGCTGCTCTGGCTCTGGCTCCGGCTGCTCTGGCTCTGGCTCCGGCTGCTCTGGCTCTGGCTCCGGCTGCTCTGGCTCTGGCTCCGGCTGCTCTGGCTCTGACTCCGGCTGCTCTGGCTCTGACTCCGGCTGCTCTGGCTCTGGCTCCGACTGCTCTGGCTCTGGCTCCGGCTGCTCTGGCTCCGGCTCCGACTGCTCTGGCTCTGGCTCCGGCTGCTCTGGCTCTGGCTCCGGCTGCTCTGGCTCTGGCTCCGGCTGCTCTGGCTCTGGCTCCGGCTGCTCTGGCTCCGGCTGCTCTGGCTCTGACTCCGGCTGCTCTGGCTCTGGCTCCGGCTGCTCTGGCTCTGGCTCCGGCTGCTCTGGCTCTGGCTCCGGCTGCTCTGGCTCCGGCTGCTCTGGCTCTGGCTCCGGCTGCTCTGGCTCTGGCTCCGGCTGCTCTGGCTCTGGCTCCGGCTGCTCTGGCTCCGGCTGCTCTGGCTCCGGCTGCTCTGGCTCCGGCTCCGACTGCCCTGGCTCCGGCTGCTCTGGCTCTGGCTCCGGCTGCTCTGGCTCTGGCTCCGACTGCCCTGGCTCTGGCTCCGGCTGCTCTGGCTCTGGCTCCGGCTGCTCTGGCTCTGGCTCCGGCTGCTCTGGCTCCGGCTCCGACTGCTCTGGCTCTGGCTCCGGCTGCTCTGGCTCTGGCTCCGGCTGCTCTGGCTCTGGCTCCGGCTGCTCTGGCTCTGGCTCCGGCTGCTCTGGGATTCAGTTGGGATTTGCATTCGAGGCAAATCAGAATCCTCCAACAGCAAAATAACATCTGCCTTTTTACAGAAGTGAATCCAAACAGAAAGTGTGGTTGTAATAACCATAACAAACAAACACAGACTTGCAGACTGTAAATGTTTAAATACAAAACTAAAAATTGTAAACATGAATATAACTGTTTTATGTTTAACCAGAAGTGACAGAGATGTTTATAGAGAAAAAAGAAGAATCAAATAGGGTCAAAAAGTTACATAATTGTAATTGTAAATGTTGTATTCCCGACCAAAGTGATTATTTTCACAATTATGCATTTTTGGAAAAATAAAACCCTGAAAATATAAAAAAAATGTAGATATTTATTTGAAAAAGCTGCTTTAAATATCAATAAAAGAAATGATCCGTCAACGGAACAAAGAAAAATTGATTAAGATGTCTGAAAATGATTAAATACTAGCCCCAAACGTCTTGATTCTAGTTTAAAAACATACATTTTAAGTATTATTTACTTTTACTTTACTTTTTTGAGAAATGCGTTCTTATATATTGCATCACAAACTTATTTTATCTAAACAAGAACGTACAGCTCAGACTTTTTTCTCTAATAAGTTTATAAAGTATTTTAAAACTAGTAAAATAATCTTTTGACAAACTACATTCAAGAAACAAAAAGTTTAAAAAAAAGCATCATTTCTGTTGTTTTTAGTGAATAAATCTGACCAAAATGTTATGTTTTTCTTTCACAATCGCCTCATGTCCTTTTATCAAACCCATGATGTGAACTTGAACAAATAACTCATTCATGTAATTATAAAAATCTTGTTGAACTAAACGTTAGGGTCGAAGTGTCGTAGAGAAGAGGATGATGTCACTGGTGTTACGTTCAAACTCGTCCCCATGGAAACGTGCAGAGCTCACACATTTACAATTCAAATAGTTTTGCATCGACAGGAAATGATCCCAACGTTTCAGAGACGACATCAGATGGAAACGTCCGAGGGTTTGGAAGAATATAATATACAGTGCCTTGCGAAAGTATTTGGCCCCCTTGAACCTTTCAACATTTCGCCACATTTCAGGCTTCAAACATAAAGATATACAATTTTAATTTTTTGTCATGAATCAACAACAAGTGGGACACAATCGTGAAGTGGAACGAACTTTATTGGATAATTTAAACTTTTTTAACAAATAAAAAACTGAAAAGTGGGGCGTGCAGTATTATTGGGCCCCTTTACTTTCAGTGCAGCAAACTCAGTCCAGAAGTTCAGTGAGGATCTTTGAATGATCCAATGTTGTCCTAAATGACTGATGATGATAAATAGAATGCACCTGTGTGTAATCAAGTCTCCGTATAAATGCACCTGCTCTTTGATAGTCTCAGGGTTCTGTTTAAAGCGCAGAGAGAACCATGAAGACAAAGGAACACACCAGGCAGGTCCGAGATACTGTTGTGGAGAAGTTTAAAGCCGGATTTGGATACAAAAAGATTTCCCAAGCTTTAAACATCTCAAGGAGCACTGTGCAAGCAATTATATTGAAATGGAAGGAGTATCAGACCACTGCAAATCTACCAAGACCCGGCCGTCCCTCCAAACTTTCATCTCAAACAAGGAGAAGACTGATCAGAGATGCAGCCAAGAGGCCCATGATCACTCTGGATGAAGTGCAGATAACTACAGCTGAGGTGGGAGAGTCTGTCCATAGGACAACAATCAGTCGTGCACTGCACAAATCTGGCCTTTATGGAAGAGTGGCAAGAAGAAAGCCATTTCTCAAAGATATCCATAAAAAGTCTCGTTTAAAGTTTGCCACAAGCTACCCGGGAGACACGCCAAACATGTGGAAGAAGGTGCTCTGGTCAGATCGAACTTTTTGGCCACAATGCAAAACGATATGTTTGGCGTAAAAGCAACACAGCTCATCACCCTGAACACACCATCCCCACTGTCAAACATGGTGGTGGCAGCATCATGGTTTGAGCCTGCTTTTCTTCAGCAGGGACAGGGAAGATGGCTAAAATTGATGGGAAGATGGATGGAGCCAAATACAGGACCATTCTGGAAGAAAACCTGTTGGAGTCTGCAAAAGACCTGAGACTGGGACGGAGATTTATCTTCCAACAGGACAATGATCCAAAACATAAAGCCAAATCTACAATGGAATGGTTCACAAATAGACGTATCCAGGTGTTAGAATGGCCAAGTCAAAGTCCAGACCTGAAACCTGTTCATAAACGCTCTCCATCCAACCTCACTGAGCTCGAACTGTTTTGCAAGGAAGAATGGGCAAGAATTCCAGTCTCTCGATGTGCAAAACTGATAGAGACATACCCCAAGCGACTTGCAGCTGTAATTGCAGCAAAAGGTGGCGCTACAAAGTATTAGCGCAAGGGGCCGAATAATATTGCACGCCCCACTTTTCAGTTTTTTGTTTGTTTAAAAAAGTTTAAATTATCCAATAAATTTCGTTCCACTTCACGATTGTGTCCCACTTGTTGTTGATTCTTGACACACAAACAAAAAATTGTATATCTTTATGTTTGAAGCCTGAAATGTGGCAAAATGCTTTCGCAAGGTACTGTATATAGGATTGTCATGGTTCTGATGGGACACACACACACACACACACAGACAGAGACAGAGACGCACACAGACAGACACAGACAAACACACACACACAGACAGACAGACACACACACACAGACAGACACACACACACAGACAGACACACACACACACACAGACAGACACACACACACACACAGACAGACACACACACACACAGACAGACAGACACACACACACACACAGACAGAGACACACAGACACACACACACACACACACAGACAGAGACACACAGACACACACACACACACACACACACACAGACAGACAGATTATTCAACAGGCACCTGCCCGGGGACCTAAGGCTGCGGGGGAAGGGCTCATAGGGGTTAAAATGTCATAAATATATCCTGGTGCCAGAGCAGAATGGAGGAAAGTAAAAATAATCTAAAGAATAATTTACAGTGAATCTACTCCAGGTCCATGAGGTGGTGTTTCCACGGAGACGCTGCGACGCTAAAACGTTAGAGTTGGTATCAGTTTGTCCTTTTGTTTCCATGGAGACGGTGTTTCAGGTGAAAACGGCTGCTCTGACCTTGGCACTTCCCCCACGGACGTTTGGACACAGTAGAACGTTAACAACAATGGCGGCGTGTCGGCTAATGCTACGTGTGCTAATGCTAAGTGATCCAAGATGGCGGCCTGTTCAAATCAGTGGCTTGTGCTCAGTAGCGCATGCGTCGCCGTGGGGACTGAAAGATTAGCAGAACTCGCCCATATTTGGGAATTGTCTGGTCCTCCCGGTTCTGCGCAATGGACGAGCAAAGAGAGCAGCGTCCTGACCAATCAGAACAGAGCTAGAGCGGGAGACGAACAAGCAGAGTTTGTTGCATTAAAGTGTAGATCTAAAGAAAACTGAAGGATTTAAGAAGAAAAAAAGTTCAGGACGACAAGGAACACTAAAACCTCCACAAAATAGGACCTTTGTAAAAGCAGTAGGTTCTCTGTCAGGTTCTCTGTCAGCTGAGGTTCTATGGGACTTTTATCTATGTAGCCCATGTGAATTTAGTCTTGTTTAGTCTGCAGTACCACAGCGCCCCCTGTGCCCATGGGTGGGACAGCTATAAGCTACTCAATCCAGGTATTATTATAGATCCATGGATACATATAGTTTGTTTTGCTAATTGCTTGGCGCCGTCTCCGTCCACTCAGGCCCTAGTCTGTTGTAAACATGAGTTCTACACAGATTCTACTTTTTTTTATGACTGAGATATTTATTGTGTTTTATCATGGGGGGGGGGGAAGGGGAGGGGATCGGGGATAAAAAAAAAAAAAAAAAAAAAAAAAAATAGAAATAAAAATACAATAATAATAAAATAAAAATAATAAATAATAAGATAACAAAGAGCAAAGGAAAAATAAAATAAAAATAAAATAAACTAAGATAAAAAGTAACAAATAAACATATGTAAACCTATATACATACATACAGGTGACAATGAGAATACATACATATCACACTCGAAGATTTAGACATATATTCACAAAAAAAAAAAAAAAAGATTCTACTTTTAATACGGCCGTAGTTAAACAGTTTGTCTTCTCACTTCTCTCTCAGAAGCTCCATGGCACCTGGGCTCCTCCAAAGCCCCGGTGGGCGTGTCGAAGCTTAATGAACGTGTTTCCCATCCACTTCACCCATCTGTCTGCGCATATGGGCTGTGGCATCTATAATGAGCCCCTTCAGTCCAAATCCTAAACCAGGGGCGGGGCTTCGAGAGTCGGGTGTTAAACAAGCGGGCTACAGCGCGGGTCTGTCTGTAGGGAGTTTACCATCCCAGAGCTTTTATAATAAACCTACATCTTTACTCATGCCGTTTAGGATCGTTCCCTGTATTTTCAAAGGTTTTCCCAAATGTCAGGAAAGAACCGCCCTCTGCCCTTTTAGAACCAAACTCATATGTCTGTGGTGTAAAGCATGTGAACCCCTGTCCACAGACACATTTATCCTATGGGAGACAATAAAGGAATATCTCGTCTCATCTCGTCTCAACATATCTACTCTCATCTAGTCTTGTCTAGTCTCATTCTAGCCTGGTCTTATCCATCCGTACTCTCCGCTCAGTCATCATGTCCTGCATGTAACGTCTGGGTCTGGTCCCTGTGTTTGTGATTACAATCGGTTGAATTTCGACCGACCAATCAGAGAGCACGGGAGGCGGGTGTTGTAGTTAGATGTGGGTGATGTCAAGAGTTTGCGTCGAACGGGCAGGTTGGAGTTTGGCGAAGAATGCGATAGTAAAGTATTCTGGTCTGGTTCTATCAAGAAACTGAAGCCGGAGCAAGAAGAATGTTTAGCAAATGTAATGTCTGGAAAAATTGTGGCGCTACTTCCCACGGCCTCTGTTAGCGACAAAGGAGATGGCTAAAGCTAGGCTAAATGCTAAATGCTAATGACAGACTCGGGCGCACTGCATACATCACGGTAAACTCAGATCCAATGGTTTCAATCTGCAAAAGGAGTTAGCCCCTCCCACCAACCAGGCTAGTCTCATTCCGTCTCGTCTCAACATATTTAGTCTTGTCATATCTGGTCTCGTCATATCTGGTCTCGTCATGTCTCGTCTCGTCATATCTGGTCTCGTCATGTCTCATCTCGTCATATCTGGTCTCGTCATGTCTCGTCTCGTCATATCTGGTCTCGTCATATCTGGTCTCGTCATGTCTCGTCTCGTCATATCTGGTCTCGTCATGTCTCGTCTCGTATCGTATTGTCTTTATTCGACTTTCTAATTGCTGGAGTCCTGCAGAGGACACACCACCTTCAAAAGTACTTTTCATAATGTTTTTGAGAAAGATCTTGATGGTGTGTCGTGGACTTTGATGGTGTGTCGTGGACTTTGATGGTGTGTCGTGGACTTTGATGGTGTGTCGTGGACATTGAGGGTGTGTCGTGGACTTTGATGGTGTGTCTGGTACCTTGATGGTGTGTCGTGGACTTTGATGGTGTGTCATTGACTTTGATGGTGTGTCGTGGACTACTTTGATGGTGTGTCTGGTACCTCGATGGTGTGTCGTGCACTACTTTGATGGTGTGTCTTGTACCTTGATGGTGTGTCGTGGACTACTTTGATGGTGTGTCTTGTACCTTGATGGTGTGTCGTGCACTACTTTGATGGTGTGTCATTGACTTTGATGGTGTGTCTGGTACCTTGATGGTGTGTCGTGGACTTTGATGGTGTGTCATTGACTTTGATGGTGTGTCGTGGACTACTTTGATGGTGTGTCTGGTACCTCGATGGTGTGTCGTGCACTACTTTGATGGTGTGTCTTGTACCTTGATGGTGTGTCGTGGACTACTTTGATGGTGTGTCTTGTACCTTGATGGTGTGTCGTGCACTACTTTGATGGTGTGTCATTGACTTTGATGGTGTGTCTGGTACCTTGATGGTGTGTCGTGGACTTTGATGGTGTGTCATTGACTTTGATGGTGTGTCGTGGACTACTTTGATGGTGTGTCTGGTACCTCGATGGTGTGTCGTGCACTACTTTGATGGTGTGTCTTGTACCTTGATGGTGTGTCGTGGACTACTTTGATGGTGTGTCTTGTACCTTGATGGTGTGTCGTGCACTACTTTGATGGTGTGTCATTGACTTTGATGGTGTGTCTGGTACCTTGATGGTGTGTCGTGGACTTTGATGGTGTGTCATTGACTTTGATGGTGTGTCGTGGACTACTTTGATGGTGTGTCTGGTACCTCGATGGTGTGTCGTGCACTACTTTGATGGTGTGTCTTGTACCTTGATGGTGTGTCGTGGACTACTTTGATGGTGTGTCTTGTACCTTGATGGTGTGTCGTGCACTACTTTGATGGTGTGTCATTGACTTTGATGGTGTGTCTGGTACCTTGATGGTGTGTCGTGGACTTTGATGGTGTGTCATTGACTTTGATGGTGTGTCGTGGACTACTTTGATGGTGTGTCTGGTACCTCGATGGTGTGTCGTGCACTACTTTGATGGTGTGTCTTGTACCTTGATGGTGTGTCGTGGACTACTTTGATGGTGTGTCTTGTACCTTGATGGTGTGTCGTGCACTACTTTGATGGTGTGTCATTGACTTTGATGGTGTGTCTGGTACCTTGATGGTGTGTCGTGGACTTTGATGGTGTGTCATTGACTTTGATGGTGTGTCGTGGACTACTTTGATGGTGTGTCTGGTACCTCGATGGTGTGTCGTGCACTACTTTGATGGTGTGTCTTGTACCTTGATGGTGTGTCGTGGACTACTTTGATGGTGTGTCTTGTACCTTGATGGTGTGTCGTGCACTACTTTGATGGTGTGTCATTGACTTTGATGGTGTGTCTGGTACCTTGATGGTGTGTCGTGGACTTTGATGGTGTGTCATTGACTTTGATGGTGTGTCGTGGACTACTTTGATGGTGTGTCTGGTACCTCGATGGTGTGTCGTGCACTACTTTGATGGTGTGTCTTGTACCTTGATGGTGTGTCGTGGACTACTTTGATGGTGTGTCTTGTACCTTGATGGTGTGTCGTGCACTACTTTGATGGTGTGTCATTGACTTTGATGGTGTGTCTGGTACCTTGATGGTGTGTCGTGGACTTTGATGGTGTGTCATTGACTTTGATGGTGTGTCGTGGACTACTTTGATGGTGTGTCTGGTACCTCGATGGTGTGTCGTGCACTACTTTGATGGTGTGTCTTGTACCTTGATGGTGTGTCGTGGACTACTTTGATGGTGTGTCTTGTACCTTGATGGTGTGTCGTGCACTACTTTGATGGTGTGTCATTGACTTTGATGGTGTGTCTGGTACCTTGATGGTGTGTCGTGGACTTTGATGGTGTGTCATTGACTTTGATGGTGTGTCGTGGACTACTTTGATGGTGTGTCTGGTACCTCGATGGTGTGTCGTGCACTACTTTGATGGTGTGTCTTGTACCTTGATGGTGTGTCGTGGACTACTTTGATGGTGTGTCTTGTACCTTGATGGTGTGTCGTGCACTACTTTGATGGTGTGTCATTGACTTTGATGGTGTGTCTGGTACCTTGATGGTGTGTCGTGGACTTTGATGGTGTGTCATTGACTTTGATGGTGTGTCGTGGACTACTTTGATGGTGTGTCTGGTACCTCGATGGTGTGTCGTGCACTACTTTGATGGTGTGTCTTGTACCTTGATGGTGTGTCGTGGACTACTTTGATGGTGTGTCTTGTACCTTGATGGTGTGTCGTGCACTACTTTGATGGTGTGTCATTGACTTTGATGGTGTGTCTGGTACCTTGATGGTGTGTCGTGGACTTTGATGGTGTGTCATTGACTTTGATGGTGTGTCGTGGACTACTTTGATGGTGTGTCTGGTACCTCGATGGTGTGTCGTGCACTACTTTGATGGTGTGTCTGGTACCTCGATGGTGTGTCGTGCACTACTTTGATGGTGTGTCTTGTACCTTGATGGTGTGTCGTGGACTACTTTGATGGTGTGTCTTGTACCTTGATGGTGTGTCGTGCACTACTTTGATGGTGTGTCATTGACTTTGATGGTGTGTCTGGTACCTTGATGGTGTGTCGTGGACTTTGATGGTGTGTCATTGACTTTGATGGTGTGTCGTGGACTACTTTGATGGTGTGTCTGGTACCTCGATGGTGTGTCGTGCACTACTTTGATGGTGTGTCTTGTACCTTGATGGTGTGTCGTGGACTACTTTGATGGTGTGTCTTGTACCTTGATGGTGTGTCGTGCACTACTTTGATGGTGTGTCATTGACTTTGATGGTGTGTCTGGTACCTTGATGGTGTGTCGTGGACTTTGATGGTGTGTCATTGACTTTGATGGTGTGTCGTGGACTACTTTGATGGTGTGTCTGGTACCTCGATGGTGTGTCGTGCACTACTTTGATGGTGTGTCTTGTACCTTGATGGTGTGTCGTGGACTACTTTGATGGTGTGTCTGGTACCTTGATGGTGTGTCGTGGACTACTTTGATGGTGTGTCTTGTACCTTGATGGTGTGTCGTGGACTACTTTGATGGTGTGTCTGGTACCTTGATGGTGTGTCGTGGACTTTGATGGTGTGTCATTGACTTTGATGGTGTGTCGTGGACTACTTTGATGGTGTGTCTTGTACCTTGATGGTGTGTCGTGGACTACTTTGATGGTGTGTCTGGTACCTTGATGGTGTGTCGTGGACTACTTTGATGGTGTGTCTTGTACCTTGATGGTGTGTCGTGGACTACTTTGATGGTGTGTCTGGTACCTTGATGGTGTGTCGTGGACTTGCCCAGGGCTTCTGTTGTGACGACATCTGTGTGTGTCTGGTTTGAGAAAGACGAACCATGAAGGAACGCTGAGCTTTTACCAAAACAATGAAAGAGCAGCACCTCCTCCTCCCACTGTACGTATCCCACAATGCACCTCTGCAGCTTGTTGATGGTACAACATCTGTGAGGTGATACTATCAACACACACCGAACCCTGCATTTCTGGTTTGTGCCAATTTATTCCAATGTCTCAGTACTAGACCATGAACTGTAGCTTAATGGAACCAGCGACAAAAATAGAATTAACCACGTTTTTTTAACAAATAAAATCTGTTTTAATATTTTTTTAATTTTAAACTTGTTTGTGGATCTCTGTGTGAATCATCAAAGCAACGGGAAAAAAATCTTAAAAATACAACAAAATATATTAAATTAAGTAAAATACGACTTAATAATGATGATAATAATAATAATAATGATAA